AGTGAGATGAGTCCACCTCGTCATAAGACGAAGCCTGTCTCTTATACACATCTAGATGTGTATAAGAGACAGGGAGAGAGGGATGGATCGATGGACGATGGAGGGATGGAGGGATGGATGAGTGGCATCGTGGATAATTGGATGGCTAAAGAGACAGAGGTGAAGAGAAGAGAGGAAGAAAGATGGAGATGCATGGACATCGGGCTGGATGATGGATGGACGGAGAAGGAATATGGTTTCGAATGTTGCAGTGAATCTCAGCACAAAGGTTGCTTGTATGGCAATAATGCCGCATTACTGTAATATCTTTTTACCTTTCTTGTGAAAAATCGAAATATGGGAAAGGTTTTTCAAAAACTTCGAATATATTTTTTTATCCACGTCCAAACACTATCTCTGCACTGGTATTCAGATCTGAAGACCCAGACTGTCCACATGTCCAGAACATAGCGATGATGGTGAACCATTGTCGATAGAGTGATTGTCCCATTCTTAAGCAGAGCAGGGGACATCAAGGTCTGGTGGAGGTTGCCCCCCCCCCTCTAGTCCTTTCCAGAACAAAACCACCAAACCAAGAAGAACAGATCCGTAAACGAAAAGGGAGGGGCGTATACTAAAAGCTACTTCATACTTATAATGATATCTAGACCAGATCCGTAAACGAAAAGGGGCGTATACTACAAGTTATAGAGAATAAGTTATATATATAATCAGTTATATAAAATCAGTTATATTTATTTGTAGAGTTAGGTTGATGTATAATGATATCTAGGATTGGATATAGCCAGAGTCCTTGGAAGATCTCCGACCCTGTCTCCGAGGAGATTCAGTTGAATGGGGAGGGAGTTGGCGAACGCGAGGTGTAGGTGGGGGATACAAGACACCAGACGTGGCATGCATATCAAGAAAGTAAATGCAGGTGGGGGGTAGAAGGAGGAGGAGGGGGGGGGAGGAGGGGGGGGGGGGGGGCAAAACACTCACTTTCTGATTTGTGGAGGGGCAGGAGGTTGTCCCAGAGATGAATCTCTGCGCAATGCAAACAATCCGGCCATAGAACTGAGTGTCCTTGGCGATGGCCCATATCTCTGCTGCTGCTGGGCACCAAAGCCTGTCGTCGAGGAATTGGACATCGACGACGACAATCCAAGCCCCTCAGAGATCCCCATGCACCCCCCCATCTTCTCCACAACATTCTCATCCACCTCCCCCACCCCCTCCACATTGCCAGCTGAGATCGTCCCCAGCTTTCCCAGTCTGCTGGGGCCAACTCCCCCCCTCCCTCCATTTTGCACCCTTGGGTTACGCGTGAACTCCAGCCCCGATCCGTGGACCTTCCATTTCGATTGCCAAGGCCGGTTGGCATTGGCATTGGCGCGCAGTGTCTGCTGTTTGTTGAGAATTGTCCGCGCCAGCAGACCTGCTGACGGTTCTGCCAACCTCTGACAATAATAGTCTGCAGAGCCCAAGCCTCCTACCCCCCTCTGACCCCTCTGACCACATTCTGCCTCTCTCCGATTCCACTGATCTCGACACTGAGGCCAAGCCTGTGATGGACCCGTGGAATACGGCCCGCGCCTGGTCATCCAGGCTTCAAATTACCTGAGGCCTCCAGTGACGTGTCCGAACACATCAAACACTTTGGATGAGTCCTGGCGGTATTCTTTCTCTCCCCACATCCAACCACGCAAGTGTTTCTTACCACTACCAACTTGGCACGCCCATAACAGAAGCAACTGACGCCGTCCGATTTCATCAAGATCCTGTGCCTGCAGACAATAATCCAGTTCAATCCTAAGTTAGGCATCATACGAAACCTCACCACAAACTATTCTTCTTCTTCTTCTTCTTCTTCTTCTTCTTCTTCGTCTTCGTCTTCTTCTTCTTCTTCTTCTTCTTCTTCTTCTTCTTCTTCTTCCTCCTCCTCCTCCTCCTCCTGCTCCCCCCCCTCCTCACCACAAACTGTTCTTCTTCTTCTTCTTTTTTTTCTTCTTCTTCTTCTTCTTCTTCTTCTTCTTCTACTCCTTCTTCTTCTTCTTCTTCCTCCTCCTGCTCCTGCTCCTGGTCCTGCTGATTCTCCTCCTCCTTGACTTTCTTCCTCTCCGCTCTTCCAACCTCCATCGTACAAAACCCAATTGTCTCGGTTTTCTTACCATGAAAACCAAGCCAAGTTTGATTCTCAGGGAAGTCCTTATTGCTTGATTCTTTGTTGACCCCAGGTAGGGTGTCTATGACAGACCCATGCTTCTTCTTCTTCTTCTTCTTCTTCTTCTTCTTCTTCTTCTTCTTCTTCCTCCTCCTCCTCCTCCTCCCCCTCCTGATTCTCCTCCTCCTTGACTTTCTTCCTCTCCGTTCTTCCAACCTCCGTCGTACAAAACCCAATTGTCTCGGTATTTCTTGCCATGAAACCAGGCCAAGTTTTTTTTTTTTTTTTTTTTTTTTTTTTTTTTTTTTTTTTTTTTTTTTTTTTTTTTTTTTAAACCAGGCCAAGTTTGATTCTCAGGGAAGTCCTGATTGCTTGATTCTTTGTTGACCCCAGGTAGGGTGCCTAGTGTCTATGAAAGACCCATGCACGAAGTCGTTCCAATATCCGGAAATCAATCCATAGGGTGAAAGTTTTCCACTTTCAGCATGATGGAGCTCATTCCCAAGAGAATTTTTTTCCACTTTCCACACATTGGGACCCAGTCCTAGAAAAGAAAGTTTCCACTTTTAGTATGTTGGGCCCAATCACAGGAGCATGTTGGGCCCCAGTCCCAGAAGGCGGGGCAAATGCACTGCAGAAGGCCCTCGGAGTTGGGCCCTTGGACCAGAATACTACCACTATGCTAATGGGTACAAACTCGTGGCGTTGGTGCATAGCGGGTCAGATCAGCCATCAAGTCGGACATGGGGGGGCTACCTTCTTCCCCCGAATACAACGTACGGTCATTATTATAGCTGTATATAGACTGAAAGATACCCCAAATACAGCTGCTATAATGACCGATAATAATGACCGTACGTTGTATTCGGGGGAAGAAGGTAGCCGTCAATTGTTGCAGTCAATTCCTCAAGAATTCCGGACATCAAATTTTACGCATTTTTTTAATATGTCTACATTGTTTTGTTTATTGATTAAATCTTATTTTATTTGCTTATCCCTGAGACCTGCAAATTATGAGATTGCCCCTGCACTTTATAGAAATCGGTAAAAAGTTACTTAAAAACAAAAAAAACAAAAAAAACAAAAAAAACAAAAAAAAGCAGGAAAAAAATAGCTTAAACCACCCCTGCCTTTCTGAGTGTTGGGAAAAACGGGAAAACATCCTACTCCCTTGAGAGAAGAATATAGATTACTTTAAAAAAATAAAAAAAATAAAAAAAATCGGAGGTCCTGCGGAGGCTCATCAGGAAAGGAATAAAAGGGTCAGATCCCACTAGCCTGGATTATTCATTTTTCACCCTCGATTACGAGGATCAACGGTCAGAAATGAACAATCGGGGCTAGTAGGATCTGGCCCAAAAAAAAGAAAGATTGGGCCCCTGTGGGCCCGCGGAGAGGGAAGGAATAAAAAAAAAGGAAAGATTGGGCTCCTGTAGCTGTAGGCCCGCAGAGAGGAAAAGATAAAAAAAATAAACTAAGAATTCTGAGTCCAGAGACGTCGGAAAAAAAGAAAAAAAAGAAAAAAAAAGAAAGTACCGGAGGGCCTTGTGCCGAGTGAGTCGTTGGGGCTAGTCCCCATGTATGTGGTGCTTGGGGTAGTCTGCGTCGATCCGGGTTGTTTGTGAGGAATTCCCGGTCTCAAAGTTGATTTTTTAATGGAATTGCTCGCTTTTTCCCAAACAAAAAAAAAAAAAAAAAAAGAAAGGACCGGAGGGGAGGCACAGTGACTGGCCAATCCAATAAACTCAGTCCTGATGCTACCGGCTGACCCCTGGCCGGTGGTATCGCCCACCTTCTGCAGCAGGTATGGTGTATGCGCACTCTGCTGGTGGGTGCAGCTCCCGCATGTTCCCTCATTGGAGGCTTGAGCACGGATGTGGCTGATACGGGCTTCCCCCTTTTTTTTTTTTCTTTTTTTTTTTAAACACGACCCCTCAGTGTTAGTGGTGCTGATAAGAGCATACACCACTAGCACCTGGGGAGTGGCTCCATCTATTGGTGGGGGGAGCATCACCTGCTGGAAAACGGGTCCAGCGTCCCTTATACGATACGGGGTTCCCCCTAATAATACTATAACGACAATAAAAAAAGGCATGTAAGGCCGTCCTGTCCAGATTTGACAGGTAATTGAATTGGTTGGGCTTAAAAGAATAAGCCTATAAAAAAATGAAGAAAAAAAAGAAAGGCCCTCATAGAGGTGGAAGCCACACCAGTGCTTTGAGGAATGTATCTGGCCACGATGTCTGGAACGTGATTGCTTTCGTTTTCGGTTTTTTTTTTTTTTTTTTTTTTGCCCTACCAGCGAGGCAGGGCGTATTCCACACGCAGGGCAACTATCTGCCTCGCTCACACTAGGACTGCAGCGCAATGACAGCATAAGGGATGCTTCTTCTGTTTCTGCATTCTTGATCTGTTGTTCATCGGGACAGACGGCCCTCACTGAGGGCACAGTCGCACTACCGTCTTCCCCCGAACACAACGCACCCTCATTTTGGCTGTATCTGGCCGGAAATATAGCTTGTATACATTCATTTTTATGGTGCGTTATGTTCGGGGGAAGACGGTAGCACCTCATAGAATGAATCTGATGGCTACCATGCATACTCGCGGCACATTTGTGCGCTGCGCCATGCGTGCATGGCAGGGGCGCGCACATATGGTGCACATGGTGCGCGACATGCGCGTGCGCTATGCGCATGCCCGACCTGTTCATGCGTCATGCGCTGATGCGCGCGCCCCTGCGGGGCATGCACTAGGGTGGTGCGCCANGAAGGTATTTTGCCAAAAAAAAAAAAAAAACAGCGCGTATTTTTTTTTCTTCCGTTGATTGATTGATTGATTGATTGATTGATTGATTAAATGATTGATTGGCCCCACAGGCACACACACACACACACACATAGGTAGGATTGTATCTTTCCATGTTCTAGCCGAAGTTTCATTCGATTTTGCCTTTTTTTTTTTCCGTTGATTGATTGATTGATTGATTGATTGCTTGATTAGTGGGGGCGGGGTCGCCCCCCCATCCCCAACAGGCCCATACACACACAATATTGTATATTTCCATGTTCTAATGGAAGATTCATTCTGCCTTTTTTTTTTTTTTTTTTTTTTTTGTTTGTTTGACTCCCCATCCTGCATGGCACGTAACCTTCCTTGCCAGCATGCAGCCTTTGGAAGCTTCCACGTGGAAGCACCCGTTTGAACTTAAAATCAACAGCGGTTCCCTCTCTCCGTGATTCTCTATCTCCACTGTCGCCTGTCGCCTTCATCTCCGGGAAGGCCACAACAACACCAAATGGTGGTCAGCTCATCTCCGGGAAGGCCACAACAACACCAAATGGTGGTCAGCCCCTCGAAGGACAACCCGTTCCCCTCGCGTGCACCTCCACCCTCTCCCCTCTGATCTCCCTCGGCTGTGCAACATTCCCGCGGTCATAAAATTTGGAAAAAAAAAAAAACATGAGCAAAGGAGGGAGAAATGGAGGAAGGAGGAGGGAAAGACGGAAGAAGAAAAAGTGAGGGAGGAGGAGGGAGATATGGAAGACGAAAGAGGGGACGGGGAGGGAGAGATGGAAGAAGAAGAAGGGAGGAAGGAGGAGGGAGAGATGGAGGGAGAACAAGGGAGGAAGGAGGAAGGAGGAGGAAGAAACGGAGGAAGAAGACGGGAGGAAGGAGGAGGGCGAAAGGGAGGAGGAAAGAGGGAGTAGCGAGTCGACTCGCTGAGGAAGAAAGGGAGGAAAGAGGAGGGAGAAGTGAGGTGCTGCGTGGAGGAGGGAGAAAGCGAGGAAGGAGGAGGTATAAAGGAGAAAGGAGGAGGGAGAAAGGAGAAAGGAAGGAGGATAGAGAAAGGAGGAGGAAGAAAGGAGGAGGGAGAAATGGAGGAAGGAGGAGAGAAAGATGCACGAAGAAAAAGTGAGAGAGAAGGAGGGAGAGAGGGACGAAGAAGAAGGGAGAGAGGAGGAAGGAGAAAGGGAGGGAAGAGGACGGAGAAAGGAAGGAGGAAAGGGAGAAAGGAAGTAGGAAAGAGGGAGTAGCGAGTCGATTCAGTCGACATGTGGAGGATGGGAGGGGTGGAGGTGCCGCGCGGAGTGAAAGGCCCTGTCGCGAACGTAATGAGCGGAAACAAAGGAAAAAGGTGATTGGATGGCGAAGTCCTCGAAAGAGAGGAGGGAAGAGCGAAGCGAGAGAGAGAGAGAGAGAGGTGGTGGCAACCCGCCTGAACCCGCTCGGAGGGAGGAGGGAAGAGCGACGAGCGACAGAGAGAAAGAGAGAGAGAGCTGGTGGCAACCCACCTCAACCGGCTCGGTGATTCCTCCTCGCTCCTGCTGCCTGCTGCTGCCTGCTGCTGCCTCCTGCTGCGTGCTCGAGCTGCCTCCCGTTTCTTGCTCGCGCTATGGCTGGTGCTGCTGGTGACTGGCAGCCGACGACGAACAACGACGAAAACGGTCCACCTCCCAGGCCACCAAGGGGACCAGGCACAACGGGCAGGTCGACCTACGGGCAGGTCGACCTAGTGCCGCCGGGGTCGCCGGGGTGCCCAACGGCAGGGTGGGGGAGGTCTGAGTAGTTCGAAAACGAACTGGTGCTCAGATCTCCCCCCACAATTTTTTGCGGGCCTGCGCGCCGCCCGCAAAAGAAGAATTTTCGCGCCCACGGAGGCAATTTCCCCAGGTACCCCTCCGGGCCTTCTTTTTCTTTTTTGTTTCTGCCTTCTCCTCATCGGCATTCTGCCGTGTCATGGAACATATCTTTCTTTTTCAGAGCCTACCACTACTCCTAAGGCTATTCAGGGGACCCGTGCAACCATAGCTTTCTACCTCTCTTCGGTGAAGGGAGGTTACCTCTCTCGGCGCCGCGCCGGCCGCCCAAATCTCGAAGCAGCGCGGGCGGTTGATTCGATTTATCAACGGCCCGCCGGTCGCGGAAATCACGTAGCGTTAACGCTCAGGCGTCGCCCAAGTACTGGTGGTTTAACGGCATGTTTGCCACTTTGCCCTAGCGTTTTAGGGTGCAGGGTTGGGCCCGCCGGTCGGGGCCCCAGCTAACACAAGGACCGAGCATTTGCCAGTAACTTTGCCTCCCTTTTCATCTTCCCCCACCCCATTGAGTAACAGTAGTGTCTAAAGCCAACACCCTCCCACACACCACACTCAACCCACTCACACACGCACTCACACCCGTGTTGGCTGAAGACCTTACTGATACCGACTTACACTCTCCCACACACGACACTCAACCCACACTCACACCCGTGTTGGCTGAAGGCCATATTGATACCGACTTGGAGGATCCAGCTGACTATCACAGTTGGTTGGCACCAGGAGTGCTACAAGCGCCCATGGGGATCGAACCCACGACCTCCTGAATGCCACTTGCGTGCCTAACCAATTAAGCTAGGCTGCTGGATCCTCCGAGCCTTCTACCACCCCCCCACACTTTTTTTGTTTTTGGAAAAAACAATTTGATATGCCCCTGAAAGTCTGATTTATTTGCGGCGTGCCCGTCCGATGGTCGACTTACCCTGTCATGCCCCTGGGCCTATGAACTTTCCTGCAGGCCCCTCTCAGTGAGGGGCGCACCTTTCCCGCATGCCCCTATTGCCATTGGTGGCTCTCACGGCATTCCCCTGGCCCTGGAAGGAGAGCTATCGGGGCATACTGGAAAGTTGGAATCAGTACAGGTAAGGGCATATTGAATATATTACAGGCCTAAACGACACCAAGGGTTTTTCAAAAACTTCAATCGTTGTCAAAGAGGCGCGACAGGGTAAGTCGGTCGTCAAAGGGGCACACTGCAAATGAATCGAACTTTCAAGGGCATATCAAAATTTCCTGCCCCTTTTTTTAGGACCCCTGCTTCGGTCGATGCTTTGCATGCCATGCGCGAGTCGGTTGCACATTGCGCTGTCGAGCGCATAGGCCCCCGCGTGAGCGAGGGCCCTCCCGGCTATGTCACACAGGAATTAAAACACAACTAATTCAGGGACAACTCGGGAGACGGTGCGTGGTCGCATCGTCCCTCGCCGCTCTGGCCGGGTGCGCCAGCAATACATCCCGCGGTCCCCTACGACAGGATAGGTTCCCGCGGGGCATAAGCTACCTTCCCTAAGGGGCTGTCACCACCCTTAGGGGCGTATCCCTACCGAGCTACCGGCCCACGTGCGAAAGGTTTTAGATGCAATCGCAGAGGTAGGCCAGTCGATGACGTTTGCTCGTTCGTCGTAGTATAGATACGTTGGTTAACGTCAAGTGGACCCGAACGTCGTTCATTCCTTAGGGCGCTGATTTCCTAAGTACGAACGATCGCCGGTCGACCAGGACGGTCTCAACCAAACGTGAAACCCACGACATAATCCTAGTCCTTCTTACACACAATAAAAAAAAGGTTATAACAAACACACATAATTTCACGAAACAGAGTCAGTCGTAGTCGACAGGAACATACCCAATCTGAAATGATGACTGAAAGAATCAGCAGTATCTTATAGTACATCCAACAACACGATATAAAAAACAATCCGACCACCCCGGGTCGAATTCCACAAAAACAATCATACAATCGCCAACGGGAAGTTGACTATCGATAATAACATTAATGCAGCCGACAAGGTAGTCGGACTGCCTTAATTTTGACTTGATGAGACACGCTGCCAAAGTTATTCATTCCTACTAAAGTCGACCTATGATTAAGCACACATACGCCTGTCTCCATACATTCTCAATCTTCCTGGATGACAGGTTGCTTCGCAGATGATTCTTGATCAGGGCGTTGCTTGACGTGTTGCATGCCTCCTCCTCTAGGAAGTGGTCTGTGGATACTCCCCCCCCTCGCCTGAGCTCGAAGACCCAGATCTCAGAGGTTGGGCCGTCACCACCGAATCGGCAAAGTACCACCCCCGTCGAGTCGGGTCCACTCCAAGTCGATATCAGGACCGGCTCCAAAAGCATACGAACCCCCGCCTTGCATGCTTCCTAGAGAAAAGAGAATGCGTTCACCGCAAGTAGTTTTCAATTATTCTCATCCCTTCTCGGTTCATGGTAACTTAGACATGAAGAAATTGAATGAGATAGAGAATGAGAATCACTTTGACAGATATATATATATATAGAAGATCATTCTGGATAAAATGTGTCAATCCTGGGAAAATGCTAAGTCCAATTGACTGCTTTTTCTTTATATTCACAAGTCTTCTTTCATGGCATCCGTTGAAATTACTCATTTCGGAATTCAAGTACTTTTGTCATGCAGGAAGGTGAAAGATAGAAGCATGACAATCCTTTTCTCCATCCCAAATAGGCAAAGTCAATCTCCATAGCAAACATTCTTCTACCTACCTGCACAACATGCAAACAAAACAAGATCAAAAGACAACAGTACAATCTCATACTCAAGTCAAACTTTCCCATCCACATGCATGATTCATACGACTTCCTCTGCCTTTTCTTTTGAACATCAAAACAACAAGATCAAGCAAAGTGTGATCTCACACATGTGTGAAGGGAATCTGAGTCGTTCAACTGACCTTGAGTGAAGTTTGATCCGGCTCACTCAAGAAAGCCGAGAAATATTCCAATTGGGAAAACGATCGCTGTTGAAGCTAAAAATATGCAGCGCACAACTTCACAACTCGTGGTCGTTCCACTGAATGACAGCCACCTCACCCTCCAAGTGCTCGTATGAGCGAAAGTCAGCTCCACTGAAGGACTCACGTGAGATAACCCTCCAGGAGGGTGTTCCCAACAATGAGTCTCATGTGGTCCCAACAGTCCTAACTGTACCTCCTCCACCAAAGATACTCTCAACCAATTACGAGCCCACGCCTTTTCCAGGTACCATGTACGCTCACAATAGCCACCACAATATGTCGGTTCCAATCTTCAAAATAAGCCTCACCTGGTCCTGAAATGGTTCCAGACGGTCCCACGCTACCGTTTGCACCATCGGATGGCCCCAAACTCAAAAACCGCTCCCGCTGCGCACTGCCCCAAAAAATTAAAGGCGATCCTGGTTGAAACTGCATGTGTCGCGAGCCTCCCAAACACAAGGATGCCTTCCTGGCGCAACCGCAAGCGCTGCAACTCCAATAGTCACTGTCGCGAGSRCGCACCCCGCKTCCTCCTCRTGTCACCGGCCCACGCACCACTACCGCACCCAATCGTGCATCGGCGTTAGCCCAACCTCTAGGCCACACTGAAATTCACCTTAACAGCCGCGCACCACAAAAAATATGAGGACCACTACTTGCCGCGCCGTCAACTCGGTACCACGGCTGCCCCGCAACACCAGCGTCAGATCACACACAAAACTGTCTCCACCGACGCAAAACCCGCATCAATCTTCCCTCACAATAGTGCTGCCGACGTGCTGTCAGTAAAAAAAAATAACATCGACACCACCGCTGTCAAAGTCAATGCCGCCGCCACAAAAATCCGGCAGCGCTTCCGCACCACCGCCGTCAAAATCAATGCCGCCGCCGCAAAAACCCGGCAGCGCTTCCGCATCATTGCCGTCAAAGTCAATGTCGCCGCCGCAAAAACACGGCAGCGCTTCCGCACCACCGCCACAAAAAACCGGCAGCGCTTCCGCATCATTGCCGTTTAAACCTATGCATCCGCCGCAAAATTTCGGCAGCGCTTTCGCGCCACTGGCAAAAATACAATGTCGCCGCCATGCAGAACGAACAGAGCCTCCCCTGCAGCGCTTGCCGAAGACCTGTCGCCGCCGTGCAAAACGGGCAGAGCCTCCCCTGCACCGCAACAAAAATAGCTGCCTCCGCAGTGCTATACAGGCAACACCTTCCCTACACTTCACCAAATGAAGTGGTGGCTATGGCAGCCTCCACTCCCGCGTTCACTGCAGACCTCCACTCCACTCCACCTCTCAGCACCTTAGCAGCATAATGCTGCTCACTACTCCACATTCAGTTAGAATGTGGGCAGCACCTCAACTGAACTGAGTGAGGATGCTGCTAGCCAGCCCTGCTTTTATAGCTGGGTTGGAGTGGTGGTCAGCCACTTGAGGCTCAACCAAAAAAACGGGGCTGAGCCTAACCCTCGATCTGAACTTCGATCAAGGGCTGGGAATCTTGATGTTCCCCTAGGGAAACCAAGTTCTGAGCCCTAGCATTGCATCTGGCCTTCACCCGCGGCCAGATGCAGTGCCGAAATGGTTGTACTCAACCATTTTCAGCAGACTGTTGAGTTCAACAGTCTGCAGTCTCATCAAAGCCCAGATGCTTCTAACCTTGCATATGGGCCTCGGTCGCGTTCAAGTTCGCGACATTCCCCCTCTCCCATCCTTCCCCTCTTCTTCTTCTTCTTACCTCTGTATCCAACCTAACCCCGCGGCCACATACGTAGCCATCACTTACTTTTTTTTTTTTTTTTTTTTTTTTTTCCTTCTAATCCAGGGGCAGCTCGTCGTTTGAAAACGAACAAGCACCCCCTCTGCTCGGAGTCAGTGTCAAGCCCAATAGGGCCTCTTCCCCCTTGTCCCGC